GCGTGTCAGCATTTTGAAAAACCCTAACTTAACTCTGGTGCCGTGTCACCTATAGAAATTTTTTGATCTTTGCAACCACAGTAAAACAAAGACTTATATTTTTGATATTTATCTTATATATTTAAATGCCATTTAACAAAGAAAAATCAACCAAAAAAATGAGTTTGCGTGTCACCTCTGACACACGTGTCATAGGTTCGCCATCACTGGTTTAGGGCCACGCAGGGGCGTGGAGAGCATGAGGAAGAACGGAGACAGTTGGTCCAGGAGAGGAAACTTCACCCAGGGCAGAGGATCCGACCCCCTCCAAGATGGGGAGCGGGAGAGCAGCCCTTAATCCTGCGGACTGTGCTAAGGAGCTTGGCCTGGATTAGGGCACGGAAGAAAGCTCAGATCGGACCGGATCTGTCAACCGAGGGGCAGGCGACTCACCTGAAAGTGTGCAGGGAATTCATGGCGGCCTCTGAGGAGACCTGGGAGCTTGTGAGAGCCTGAGCGAGCATGGTGGCCATAGGGATGGGAGGGTGATGGATTGTCACAAAGGAAGACGCCGAAGAAAGGACTTGGCAACAGATTGGATGAGGTCACAGGTGAACCCATGGATCCCAGTCTGAGAACAGAGAATCATGGGGAGGGCAAGCTGGTCTGAGATGGGGGCCGATGGGTTCAATGGTCAGTGAGATGCACATGACGAGTATTAATTTCCTCACGGGTCTTCCATCTGAAACACACACTCACATCTCAGTGTTGGGCTTCCTCCCCTGCAATGGCTCCCCTCCCCCTCCCTCCCTCAGGCACCTGCCTCCCGTCCCTACATCCCACCCACTTTCCCACCCTCGGCTCCACGGACTCGCTGCTGGAAAAGGCTCCCACGGCTCCCCTGCAGGCAGCGTCGCTCAGTCCTCATGGGTGACCTCACGGCCTTTGAGACACGCCTTTCCTCTCAAAGCTCCCACCTGCCTTTGGTGTTGAAGACCCTCTCTCCCCTCCTGACGCCCCTTAAGCTGGGTGATCTGAGATGGTCAGTGCTGGCCTGTCCATGGCACACTCCCCAGACAACCTGTGTGAGGACCTCAGCCGCCCCAGACCTCGGCCCGGAGCTCCTGCCTGTCCCACCCGCACCTACAGTTCTGTTGTGTGAATCCCAGCCGGACCCTGATGTCCTCCTCCACACCCATCCTCTGCGGGTCTTCACTGCCTTCGCTGGCACCTGGGCACAGGGCGGGTACTCATCTCTCCTTCGCCTACCCCCTCTCCCATCTGCTTGTTTCCACCTGAATAGATGGTCACGGTCACGATGCTTGTCTGACCCCTGCGGGGGC